TCCCTGAACAACTCACATTTTAAGCAGACAAGGCAGACATTGGGCAGGGCAACAGGATCCAGCACACACTGAGCAAACAGCAATGCTCTGAAAATGGCACATTAGCGCCTCACTTACCATGAGGTACATGGCCCCCGAGGGCCGGACGGGCTGGAGTCCAGAGACGGCAGACAGGGCAGCGTAGCAAAGGTCAGCATTGGACTGAAAGGCAGAAAGGAGAGAGTTCAGGACTCGGGACATTCCAGGAAGCAGCTCAGCAAATTGGAGACAAATTCTTGGCCAGAACCCAAGACAGGTCCCCCACTGCAAATAAAGGGGCATCTAATGCAAACAGGACAGATGTTAACGGCCTTGAGTGCAGTCGAGGCGACTGAGCTGACCTCAGCAAATCAGTGTAGACACCCCCCGCCCCCAGCATTTCTTCCTACAGTGCCTCCTGGCTGGCAGTGCTATGATTGTCAAGAGATCCCCACAGCTGGCACTCCTGCCCCCTCCTGGCAGCACCCCCCGCTGGGAGAGGTCAGGACAGCAGTAGCCAGGAGCTCCCCCCTACCAGCACTCCTGCCCTGCTCCCTCCAGCGCCTCCTGCTGGGAGAGAGTGGACATGGGAAGATGAGGTCCCTAGCGAGACACCACTGTGATGATTCATAGTCCTGTTTGACCTGCTGATGAATGCTGCTGGTCCCCTCTCACTCTAAATACCTGTCTCTCGGGGGGACATACCTTGAGGAAGCTGAGGGTGTTGTGGTAAAACTCTGGGGGTGTTCGGTGGATGATGTGTTCCAGTGCCCCCTGGACAATTGTGCAGGGTCCCAGGATCCTTTGACTCAAGCTTACAAGGCCATTCCTGATCTGAAACACAGGTGACACTCTGACCTCAAAGATCGCACACTCATGAAGGAAAGGAAAATGCTCCCACCCTGACGCCAGCATTTCTAGCTGTTCATAGGATCAAACACGCCCACAATTGGACAAGGGGTGTTTTTCAAACTTTGCAAAGCATTCCGGAGCCAGTCCCATTATCTGGGGTCTGTATCGCAGGTGTCTGCAGACTATCTATGAAGGCCCCAGTGTCACTAGCTGTGTTTGAGGGCCAGAGCTGGTCCCAATCCTTAGCTAGGATCCAGCCCTTTCACACCACTCTTATGGTACAAAGGGGCCAGGAAGCAGCCAGAGCTCACTAGCTGGAGTTTCCTGTTACCAGAGCACATCTGATATGCTAGAGTAGCTCCTAGGCTTCTCTGAAGTAGTCTGGGGCTGAGACTGGTACACAACCACCCCCAGAATCTCAGAATCCTTGTGCCTGAGAATCCATTGTCATTGACTGTGGATTTGACTGAACTGTGCACACAAGTGTCAGGGCTTCCCAACCAAATGCGCCAACACCAAAGGGCTGGGACTCGCCTGAAGCAAACCCAAACCAGAGCCTTTGCAAACCAGTCTCTGTTGTGACGCAGTCTTTGGCTCACTCTGCTCATTTCTATTCTGTTTAATCACCACTGGATACTGCATCATGGCCAGCCGGGGACAGATGATATCAACACTGCCCTCTCCCTCTGCTGTCCTTTGTGAGCGCTCGGGTACCCCAGATTTGTGGAAAGCTCCCAGCTCTATGGGGTATCACCGGGCCACAAATCAATGAATGATAACTAAAGAGCCAAAGCTCAGGCTGCACCACTACCTGCTATCTTGTTCCCACCAATAAGGAGAAACCACATTAGAGCATACAGGGACCACAAGGGGGCAGCACGACTTTGTGTTATTCCTGTAGGGGAAACAGGGCCTGCCTGAGAGAGGAAAGCAAAACCCTTCGCCTCCAAAGTGGCACGCAAGAGAAGCAGACATGCCAAACCCGCGAAAAAAATCGCAGAAATTAGGCTTGTTTTTTGGCTTAATTGGCTTGTGAGTTGCTTGTTTGGCTTGCAGCTTGTTGCTTCTTTTTATTGATCGGCTCCTGGCAAGCAGGGGCAAGGGGGGAGAGAGTCAGGGGTGCCCAGCGGGCCCAGTCCCAGACTGCACGCCGGGGGGATCTCGTCACATAGAGTGTTGGGGTTCTTAGGGATTGGCTTGTTTGGGCCTTGTTTTGAAATGGGATTAGCTTGATTTTTGGCTACTGTGAAAGTTGGGGTGCTTATTTACCGCGTGAAAGTTGGCAATTGTGAAGAGAAGGCGGCATGTGTGCATGAAGCAGCAGGCAGGAGCATGAGGGCATGTGCGTGTGAGCCTGCAAGGGAGCGCGTGTGAGCAGGAGGAAGAGTGCATGCCTGTGCCTGAGTGAAAGGCAATGGTGTGCACACGTGCAGGGGAAGGTGCCTGCTGCCGTGCATGTTTAGTGTGTGGCGCTATTGCTGACATCGAGAAGGCCACCAGACAATGTTCCTCACCTCATTCCCAAAGATGTCTCTCCGATCATTAACCAGGATCCATCCCATCCTCCAGCCTGGGACCAGCCAACGCTTGGCGAGGCCTCCGCAGGACAGGATCGGCACGTTGGTGCTGAGAGTTGCTATGGGCTCATACTTGCACTCTGCAAACACCTGTGAGACAGGAGGATGCATTAGCAGCCACTCTCTCCTTGCCAATTCCCTGTGAGAGACAGGGGAGCTCTGGGAGGGCAGGGAATTGACTCATTAACTCACTGGCAGGGATATCAAAGCAGTTGAGCAATGAGCAGTGAGACTCTGGCATGAAACAGACAGTGCAAAGAGCAGGTTTGGGGGAGCTGTAGCGCTGCTTCAAGGGGGAATTCATGTGCAGTGCAAAGAGCCAGCCCCTGCACATCTGGTCCTAATTAAGAGATGACAGGGGCCCCTGGATGGGAGACACAAGCACAGCAATGCACACAAGAGCACGAGTGCTCGCACCGCAGCTCTGAGTTTGACCCACTCGGAGGAAAGGAGAGTACCAGACACGAGACGCCCTTCCAGGGGACAGCTGGGCAGACAGGACCAGGGAGCTGCAAGTACAGTACATGGCTGTTCTCAAGGGCAGCAGGACTAATGGCTATGGCTCTTGTCTGGGCTAGTTACTCTTAAATCCTGCTACCAAGGGGCAAGTGTATAGTGAGAAGCCACAGACCCAGGCTATGGGGGCAGTTTGTGCATGGCAGGGACAGTCACTCACCATGTCTCCATAGATTTCATCAGCTAGGATGGGGACACACTGTCTCGAGGCCACTGTGGGAGAGAAGTAAACACTGAAACTGGCTGCCTTGTTTCCCTACAGGGTGCAGACTCACCCTCATCCTACAGAGGCCAGGGGTGGGCTCTCCCCTAGCCCTACAGAACAGACCCCAATCCACCCACAGAGCGTCTCCATATTCCTTGTTTCGGACTTGCAAACCAGTAGACAAAGCATTAGAGAATACATTGTTAGGAACAATCCTTCCCAGGGCTAGGCTTGCAGGGCCTATACCTGCTCTGACCCCCGGCCTGGGACAGACACCACTGATCCACTCATCATAATGTTGAAGGCTTTCCCAGCATGGATTCTGAGAGGTGGATCAGGGGCATGATCCCCATTATACAGCCAGAGAAGGGCCACACAGTGGGTTAGGGACAGACCCTAGAAGCTCTCATCCTGCATCCCTTCCCTGGCCATGCTGACTCTGTGCAGTGTTGTCCCAAAGGCCCTGGGAACAGGGTAGGTCACAGAGTGTGGGGTGAATCCTCCAGGCCCTGGTACTGTTATTTCTGTAGCACCAACATTGCCACATAATAGGTCCGGTCCTGCCATAGAGCTCACCATAATTAGACTGAAACAGATAAGCAGAGGATAGGGCAAGGCAGCAAACCACAGCCCTGCCCTGGCTCAGTGCTCAGAGACTCACCGGCCAGGATTTTCTGGAGATGGCTCTTGCTGAATACGGAGCCGCAGGGGTTAGATGGGTTGTTCACAATGAGACAGGCCGTCTTCGCATCCACCAGCGACTCCAAGTGCTTCAAGTCAATTTCCCAGGATTTCTCAGGCTAGTGAGGAGGAGGAGGGAGAGGGTGCATGAAGATGAAGAATAAGGCATGGCGTATGGAGTGAGGACCCAGCTGGGGGCTGGGAACCAGGCATTGGGATGAAGTGCAGCAGGGCTGGGCACAGGCTGAGGGACTAGGAGTCCAGGCCCAGAGTGAGGCATGAGGGTCCGGCCAGGCCGCCAGGTGCAGGATGTGGAGCGTGTGTGGCCAGGTGCAGGGCAAAGACCACGCAGACGTAGCTGTGCTTTGCGCCTAATGAAAGGCACCAGCATTTCTTCCTCCCTGTGAGAAGGCATCACTTACACAGGGGCCTTGGGGAGCACGGCCACCATGGAAAGCTGAAGGCCCATGAGAAGGGCTGGGCTGATGGGCTCTGGCAGCAGCTTATTTGGCTTTGGCACTTCACGCCTTCCTCCCTTTTCTTATGAGGAGGGTAAGAGATCCCTGGAAGCTCTCTAGAGGGGGCTGCGGCATTCCGCTCCTAACTGCCTTACCAAGAGGTTGTAGAATTTGACCTCAATCCCCATGGAGAGTGCAAGGGTCTTGTAGAGAGAGAAGCCAGGTCTTGGCACCAGGATGTTCTGCCCTGGATTAGCCAGCACTGCTAATGCAAGTTCGATAGCCTGGCTGCAGCCACTCGTCAGGATAACGTCCTGCAGACAGCAAACGAGAATGAGCTCTTTGAATGCAACCAGAGGCTGCTCTGAGAAATTCCAAAGCAGCCACTGACAGCTGAACTGGGAGTAACGAATTGTCCATGGGTCTGCCAGAAGCAAGAGCTTCTTGGCTAAAAGGGCCTGGAAGAAGCTAAACTGACAGCAGCAGCCACTGCTGGCTTCTGGGAGCTCAAACCCACCAGATCAGAAAGCCAGGAATGGGTGACAGGGGCAGAAAGCCAGATATGATCACTTTGGAAATGGATCACGTCCAGCCATCTTGCTCTCTCCCTGGATAGAGACAAGGTGTGAGAAAAGCCCAGCTGGGGCCCCACCGTGCTCCACTGTCTCGTTTGTTGCTAACACCACGGAGCCCATTCATTCTCCAGTGAGGACACTTGCCAGGAAGGCTTCATTACCTGAGCTTCCAGAGGTGCTTCGGGGCAGCTATAATACGCAGCAACCACCTGCCGGCAAGACTGGTACCCTTGGGAGAGAAGGATGGAATATGGAGTGACGGTGGTTTCACCGGATTTCCCCGTTCTGGGCAGGAACCACCAGAGGCACGGGACAGAGACACGCAGCACAAAGAGGGGTCTCCAGAGGAATAAACCCCAGGGCAGGATGGAATTCGTTTGAATTCCGAAGGAAACAAAAGACAACATTAGTGGGCCCTGACACAAGCACCTTGTTCCATCACTGAACCAGCTGTTCTCAGCACCCAGGGCAGGTGAGTGACATCCTGGCCCCTGAGCAGGCCTGGAAAGTGCAGGCTTTACAGCACAGATAAGGGCCTGCTCCAATGCAAAGTCCCCCTGCCCCTGAATTAATGCCCCATGCCCAGTCCCCACAGCCCAAGTTAACTCCGCCGGTAACTGGGTCTACAACCTCCATGGCCAAGCCAACGTGGTGTAGAAAGTGCAGTACTTATATCAGCTAACACCAAGAACAAAGCTGTGTGGCAATGCAGCAATCTTTGCTCTGCTCCAGGGCCCTCACTCTGAGGGGATATTCTCAGTGTCTATGGGGTCACAACAGGGATGGATTTGGCCTCCAGTGGGTCTTGAATGATTGTTTGAAGCACTTTCCTGTGAAGAATGGGACTAAAACAGCTAGCCAAAGTGACAAGATATGGAGCAGAATGAGGATGCAACACCCTGCCCACATCACATTACTGTGAGGAAACCTATCCAGGAGGCAGAAGAATGTCTGGCCCAGCCTTTTCCCAGAACAATGGCCACGTAATGACCAGGACAAAGCAGCACAGCTCCTCCATGAGCAAATCAGGCCTCCAACCTGTTCCAATGCCCTGCTGCTCATTGGTGTGCATGGGCATACACAGGGCCAGAGGAGTATATGCATCGGAGTGAGTCAGTGTCAATCAGAAAGATGTAACAGGACATCCATCTAGATCCCCTGGCTCAGCCCTGTCCTCCTGTGCACAAGCTGGGCTAGGACACTGCCCTTAGAAGAGGAATCATGGGGCCTTACCGACTGAAGGAGCATATCCATTGTAGTTCCCTGAGTCCAGGGCCTCCTTCACAGCCTGGATGACCTCATCATCAGTGGGGAGGTTTCCAAATACCGTTGGGTCACCTTTTAGGGAATGACAAACAGCAAAATCCTTTTTTCTCATGTCCTTTAATGATGGAGCTGTACACAGCACACCCTCCCCTCCTGCATGCTTCAGAGACCCCCCGGCTGCAGCTCAGCTCAGGGGCCCTCAGTACCCCACCTCTTCGCTACCACCCCCGCTGTACAGCCACACAAAGCACTGCCGGCAGGGACAGCGCATTTCCCAGTACTCACCTAGGGACAAGGAGATCATGGGCTTGTTTGGGTTGGGTTCCACTTTCATAGTGTCCACGATGGCTCGGATGGGATTGAAAGTCTTCTTGGACATCTCAGAGGCCCGGACTGCCCATCTAGGCTTCCGGCTTTTCACCTTCCCCAGGGAGAGGCTGTTCCCATTTCTATGGACATGGACATCGCTATTGCCGTTCATTTGGATCAGGTAAGAGTCCATTCTGAGATCTGCCCGAGAGAAAGGGCACTCCCCAGAGTTAGCCTTTGTTGTGCATTATTTGTTATGCACCAGCTGTGTGCTCTGCCCCATACAAGATACAAAGGGGAGTTGCTGCTTGAGGGGCCAAAAGTGAGGCCTTTGAAGTTAGGCCTTTGATGGTCACTGGGCCTTACATATCGATCCCTAATCCCAGTTCCTAGATCAGCAGTGCCAACAGACAAGCTGGGAGGGAAAGGGGGGGGGCAGAGAGAGTGGGGATGGGGAAGGGAGAGAGAGGAAAGAAACAGATGGGGAAAGCCAACCCACATTCTAATGAGACTAGGGTGACCACACACAAGTGTGAAAAATCGGGATGGGGGGTAATAGGTGTCTATATAAGACAAAGCCCCAAATATCAGGACTGTCCCTATTAAATTGGGACATCTGGTCACCCTAAATGAGACCCTGCCACAGGAGAGTAGGAATAAAGATGCTACTCCACCCCAGCTCCACCCACAGCACAAACTCCACCCACAGCCCCACAGGAGAGGCAGGTTTCTGCTAAAGCCGCAAATTGGGAGTTTGCAACCTTGTCATTTTCATGGTCATCACTGGGCTTCAGAATTAACACACTGCTGAGATGAATGAGGGTCAGTCACGCCTCCCAGAGCTGTTAGGCTGAAGCCATCCTAGGTGTAAGGCCCTGACAGCAAGGATGGATTTACCCAATTTGTGACTGCCTGTCTGTCTGCAGACATTCTGAGCACCTGGCCGGGGTGACGCTCAGAAAGGACAGGCACTTAATGCTGTTAAAATGACAGCTGAGACTCTGCAGAAATGCTGTTGGCCCTGCACTGTTCTTCAGGGCAGACCCTGCAGAGAGGAAGGTGTAAAACACACGATTCCCTCCCTGGCACTGAGAAGGCAGCAGAGAGATGGCTCACAGGGAGGAGATGAGAATTCCTGAGCAGATAATAATGGGCATAGTGAAGGGTGTGCAGCGAAGCTCCTAGAAAAGGGGAGCTGCCATTGGCTAAGGCAGAACGGACTCAGTCACCTAGACTGTGGCTTGGACCAAGGGTCCCCCCCACATACTGCTCACAAGCAGGGCTGGCTCCAGGGTTTTGGCCGCCCCAAGCAGCCAAAAAAAAAAAAGAAGCCGTGATCGCGATCTGCGGCGGCAATTCAGCGGAAGGTCCTTCGCTCTGAGCGGGAGTGAGGGACCGTCTGCCGAATTGCTGCCGAATAGCTGGACGTGCCGCCCCTCTCCGGAGCGGCTGCCCCAAGCACCTGCTTGCCAGGCTGGTGCCTGGAGCCGGCCCTGCTCACAAGGGGCTCAGGCTACACTCACATACTGTGAGAGGCTGAATTAACTGAGCAGTGATGTTGTGCTTTCCAGCTACAAAAAGTGTAACCAGAATAGTGACGGATTCGTCCCCCAGCGAGTGTAATCCCAGCTGCACAGACCTCCCCACTGCTGGCTTTCCAGGACAGATGAGACATAGGCAGAGCACTGAGATTTCAGCCCTCACTTTTCCCCAGGTTAGTTCGAGTTTCTCCTTTGAGGTTTGAGCCCTTCTTGCACTTATGAGCTCTGCTGAGGAAAGCCAGTTGGGAGAGAGAAACCATTCAGCAGAGCCCAGTGACAAAGAAACCAGCCACAGACTCAACCCAGTCCAGAAAAGAAAAGCATTTGGCCTGAGCTTCTGGCCTCCTTGCTAGTGCAGCTGGGGTCTGAACACACACCAAGGAGCCTACTTGACCAGTCTCCGGCACAGGAGAACCTGCACGCAGCACAGCAACAAGGTGGGTCTGAAACAGCCCCACAGCCTAGAACCCTGGGCACTCCCTGTCTGCAGGGGAAACTGGCTGCATGGAAAGAAGAAACTCTGCCTCTGCAGTGACCCAGGCCAGTCTCTCCCAAAGGAAACACCAAGTGCTCAGTACTTTACCTTCTACAGCGCAGAGGGAGACACTCCAGTGCCCAGTGTCCGAGTCTGTCCCTTATCCTTGACAAGTTACCCTGAGAAGAAACTCAAATGCAATTCCCCAGCCCATGAAATAATTTCCAGAACTGGGCGTTGGGCTTGAATCCTTCGGCTATTGGCTGTCAGTGAGGGCTGTGCTCCCCCACTCAAAAACACCCCCTCCCTCCCCACTACAACTGCTCTCACTCAAACATCTGGTGCTCTCCTGCACATTAACTCTTTCTGGGAGCTGCAGGCAGAGGGGCATAGTTTGGATTTCTGGATGTCACTGGGCACTTCCTCTCTGCGCTGCCTCCCCCTGTGCACTTAGCTATGGGAGTCCCCAGCGGCCCAGGAACCCCTGACCTAAGCACATTGTAGAGCCACTGCCCCCTAAAGTGGGGGACAACAAACCTGCAAGTTTGTCCTTTCCACCCCAATGCTTTGGGCCCCTCGTTTCTAGATCCCATAGCTCAGAAAGGGCACAGATTGCAGGCATCATGCAGATACCTGTAAGAGGGGCTGTTACTCCTTTGGCAACTGAACAAACAGGCACACATCTCCTCAGCCTTTGTCTGAATGTGCCAGGGCCCTAAGAGTTAAAGGGAGTCTCAGTTGTCCCAGTTATTTGTCCCAGGGCCCACACAGCCTGATCTTCTTGGTAGATAATGGAAGGTGATGCAACTTCTCTCCCCTCAGTGCAAACAGCTCATGATTCCAAATGTTCTCTTGGGGTGGGCAGGTGCTGGGATGTCACAGCAAGGTGAAGTGACACTTCACTGCCCCTTGGGGTGCTACTCCGGGAGGGCAGCATGCACAGGTAAAGGAGGTTTTAATTTTTTAGCCTTACAAAGGCTGCTTCTAGTCCATAGATGCCAACCCTCCCCCACTGAGACTGTGTGTGTCTGGGGCTGACTGAAGATCAAAGAGCTGCTCATGGGCTGCAGGAACCCTGCTAATCTCCCTGCAAACAGACAGGATGATGACACAATGTCAGGGGTCAGCGGTCATCATGACAGTGCCTGTTGGTATCCACCAGTGTAGGTGGAGAAAGGATGAGCAAGGCCCTGGCTTGGCCCGGTGCTTACATTACCCAGCCACCAGCCCTGACAGGCTATTAGCATTAATTCTGCAGCTCTGCCCCAGAGTCAGCTGGAAACAAAACGGTGCACATCAGCCCCCAGGGTGCATCTGCATGGTGACATGTTGCCCTGTCAGAACGTGGCTATAACCAGGTGACATGATGCTCAGCATAGGCCAGGACAAGCTGCAGCAGCCTTGTGGCAGCTACTGCCCAGGGTTACTCCCAGCTAGCTGACATGGGCACCCGATTGTGCTGGATGGGGACAGAAACAGCCTTTGCCTGAAGCAAAGAGCTCACCGTTTTGTCTTCTAACAGGAAAACACATTGTTGTGTGGACCAGGTCCCGGCAGCAAGGGGCCTCCTGGGCACTTAGGGGGCTGGCCAATCTCTTGCTGGAGGCACTGGGCTTGTCTGGAGGCTGGGGAGTTGTAGAACATCCAGTGTCCCTACTGCTGAGGCCTGTGGGGCCAGGCCTGCACTATGATCAAGGCAGAGAATAGTGGAAAACAAAGTGGCTCTGCCACTGGGATGCTGAGACCCCTGGTGCTGGGACATTGAGCACTGGAAGGGCTGATGGCAGTACCAGGATACTGCACTGGTGTTAAGGGTCAGGTGCCCAGGAGCAACCCCCCAGCTGGGCAACGTGCGCTGAAATAGCTGCTGCATCCCTCGTGCCAGCGCTCGTCTAAAGATTTCACAAGAAAAATGGCCTGTGTCAAAAACAAACATTTCACAAAGCAATTTAGTTTTTGAAAACTTTGTTTTTTTTCCAAATGAAAAACTACATTTTGTTATTTTCATTTGCTGTCTGTCCCCCGCCCACCCCCACACTTAAAAAAAAGAAAGAAAGAAAATGAGAAGTTGGCTTCTACCAGAAACTCCCAAACAAAACATTTTCAAAATGTTTGTGAATTCTTCTTTCTGCCTCTCCCACAGGCTTTTATCTCTTTGAGTTCAGGCAGAGCTGTAAGGGTTAAGTCCTGAGGCCCTCACATAGACTATTCTGCCTGGCAATAAACACCCTAAACTGACGCAACCCAGAGACTCTACCCGTAATCCTGTGCATGGCAGTGAGGTTCAGAGGAGGGCATGGCAGGACCCTGCCTGCAGCAGGGACAATATTGGCATGGAGACAACGGGTAATCTGTGTTACATAAGGCTGGGGACTGGCCAGATGGAGCAGCAGGAAGCAGGATCCAGAGGGAGCTGTGGGTTCCTTCAGCCGTGGCCTACAGTAACAAGAAGGGAATGGAGGTGTTTAGGCATGCACGTTCCTTACCCAGCCTCAGTTCCCTGGAAACTCAGTGCCCCCAGATACAACAGGCATGGCTTTGCAGAAGGTTCTAGAAGAGGGTGACACAGGCATCTTTGATCCCATGAGTGGGAATCTACAGAGGTCCCTGAAGAAGAATCGGGGGGCATGTCTACACTGCCCTGCTATTCGGGCTAAGGGGGTGTGAACAGCAGTGCACAGTCAGGAATACATGAATGCAAACTTGGAACCTTTACGTTCGGGACTGCAGCATCCACCTGGGGGGAGGGAGTTACAGCGCAGACCTTTGGTGCATGCACACTGCTATTCACATGCCCTTAGTCCGAACTGCGGGGCAGTGTAGACATGCCCTGAATTACACGCAAGGCTGGAGACCTGCCTAGAGAAGGAGGGAGTGAGATCCAGAGGGAGCGATTCCAGGGTTACCTCTCCATGGCACTTTAGACAGTGCATGAAGAAGCAGGGAGGAGGGTAGGATACACCAGAGACTAGGGGAGGATGGCAGTGGTGGAGTTCTTGTGCTACAGGGCACTGGGTAGCCACTCTTCTGTTCCTACCCACCAGGAAGCTGGTAGCTTCAACTAGTCAAGAACTCAACAGTCCACTTGCCAGTCCTGACACATCTCCTTTGGCCCAGTCCTACATCTTGGTTTCACTCTCTCCGTCTCCTCCTGGGCCTGTCAACTTACTGCTTTCTTTTTACCCAAGTGGTTAGTCAATATTTGGGGTGTTGGCAATTGTTTCTGTCAGGAGGAGAAATTGATGACATGAGTCAAGTATTTCTTTGATGCAATCCTATTTATAGAGGATGTACAAAGTCCTGTTTCCCCAAACACAGTAGGAACAAACAACAGGAGGCAGTTCCTTTGCTCACTAGTCTAAGGCCAAGGCTACACTTCAAAGTTCTCCCGACATACCAATGTCAGTCAGTGGTGCAAAGAGGTGTGATCTGTGACTGACATCACTACCTTGCCAACAGCTTCTAGCACAGATGCAGCTCTATTTACTGGGGGTGGAATTAGGTGTACCAGCAGAAGTTTTGCAGGAAAAACTGGGTCCAAAGGAAGAGTACTTTGCTGGTATAAAACACAGTACAGCTATATCAGCAAAGCACTCTAGTATACACTAGCCCTGAGACTCTTTCCAGCCAGCACTCTGCCCAAAAAGCTCTCTCTTGTGGCCTTCTCTCAGGGCCACATTACAAGTCACTTCACTTTCTGTCTCCTGGCTTTCGGCCTCTCTTTGGGTGCTTTCTGGCTGCTTCTGGCTCAGTCGCGGACACAGCTGCAACCAAAGGAAATCCTAGCCCATGTTTGTATTCACTCTAGTCTTTGGGCAGTAGCTGGCTACCTTTGTTTTGGATCTCACTATACAACAGGGCATTAATTTGTTTCCTTGTTTAGCTGGAACGGAAAGTGGTTATCACACCCACCAAGGTCAGTGAAATCTGTGACTGCCCATAAATCAAAGACATACTCCCTGGAATCCAAACACCCTTCAGTATATCATACTTAACATGTCCCACACCAACTCTTTGTCTTCCCTGTCAGCCTCTCAGCTGCCCCATTCTCTGTGTCTGCTTACAACCCTATCCTCCCTGCTGCTCAGCGGGTCCCACCCTATCTGGGAGTCAGCTTTGCTGTCTCCCTCTCTCATGCCCACCTATCCAGGCCATGTCCAAAATATTGCTGGTGCTTTCTTAGTGCTGCCAACATTTATAATTTTATCACGAGTCTCACGATATTAGGTATTTTTCTTCAAGTCCCAGCTCCTGGGTTTCTGTGGTTACAAGAGAATCTCAGCCTTCATCTAAAAAAAGAAAAAAATTGCTTGCCTTCAGGGCTACAAAGAAAAGTTGGAAACTGTGAACCAGAGGCTCCAACATGAGGAGACAAATGAAAAGAACCCCACATTTATTATTTTAAAATCTCAAGATTTTTAAGGCAATTCTCAATTTTGGAGGCTGGACTCATGATGTCTGAATGATTAGGCTTGTCAATACTGCTTCCTTTATCACATCTCTGAGACCTAGACTTCTCTCAACAGCTGTGCTGAGCCCAGTCTTCTGCAACAGCCATAATGTGTAACACTGTACCACAGTCCCCAGAAAGATGTCCTGTACAAATAGCACAATGAACAGACAAACAGCATAGTGCAGGCAATCCGTTCTCACTTCTCGTAAGATTTCATGTGCCACAGCTAATCAGGGTATCATCAGAACATAGCCAACATGTCTCATATACAACCACAAACCTTCTAGGCCCAGATCATGAAATCCTAGCATTTCCCTGAAAAGAGCAAAGACCAGGAGGGTGACAACATCACACTTGGTAGTGGAGATATGTACCTGTGAAATCAATGCGAGGAAGACTCAGCTCACAAGCAGTACAAGTATAGTGGCTTATCCAAACTGCAGATGTGGGCTGTGGGTTTCTTAAACAGTTATGAAACAGAGGAGGAGGGACGATTACTATCACTGCAGTACAAATTCCTTTGGAAAACTTCTTCATCCCAAAATTTTATGAAGTAGGTATGGAAGGATTAGAAAAGTGCAGATGGAAAGCTAAGGCTGCCTACATTGTACATTTCTTTTAAGTCTCACTTGGCTTTTCCTGTCCCTCTGTTTATAACTCGGATACACCTGGAAGGGTTTTAACCCTATGTTATTGACATGCCTGGCCTCGATGTGGTGTCTCTAGAGATGTTCATGGTCTCTCCAGACACTTTTCACAATTTACCACGTACCTGCTTTCTCACATTAATTTCAGCCATGAGAAGATAATTGTTGTTTATATTACCCCAAGGCTAAGCTCTAGAGGAGGCCACAAAAAGCCTTCCAAAAAATGTCTGCCTCTTCAGACTGACAGGGAGACCACACTTAACTTCTGTGCATTAAAATGAGAGCCCATTGCTTAGAGTTTCTGCCCAGCTTAGGCAGCAGCAGCAAGCAGGCCTCGGATAAGCTGCTCAGGGGAACGCAGGTCTCTTGTTTCGGTGGCCATTGAACTTTACACCACGTGTGTATGGGTCTGGGAGTAGCACTAAGAGACTCCCTGTCCTCCCCCTGTTCCTCCCAGGAGCTGAAAGCACTTGCTGGTGCCACAGGGGGTTGAGTCCAATCCCTTTCCACCCCAGCTCTTGCTCCCAGGGCTGGAGGAGCTGTAGGGTCACCAGCCAATCAGTGTGCTCAACTCACTGGCACTCTGATGGTGCCCAAGATGATACCTGTCGTTAGAGAGAGGATCGTGGGGTGGAGGGCAATCAAAAGCCCTGGCTGGCTGAGAGGGCCTGAATCGATGAGTTGTGCTCATTGTTAGAGCTGTTGTGCTTTGTGGACTCTCACAGCTGCCCAGCAGCAGGACGTGCTATTGGGAACAACTCCGGTGTCACTGCCCTGTGTGGGGAAAGATCTCTCCTTGCTCTGCCTTAACATCAGAGCAAATATTAGGTAACTGGGTCTCCTGTTTTTGATTTATTACGTAAGTGTTTCATGCTGTTGCACAGTCCACACGGAGTAAATAACCAACAGAGCTGGGGATTGGGAGGGAAAGAGAGGTGCAGTGGGATGGAGGTGCTGTGTGTGGTGGAGAGGTGGGAGGCTGTCATATTGCGTTCATTGTTCCTATGATTATTTATTTACAAGAGACAGTTGGTACACCTTGCTATGACGTTAGGGAATGTCCAAACAAAAGGCTCCTGGCTGCCTTGCATTGGAACAACCACAGGAAGAAGAGACTGGGCATTTCACTCTATTGCTTCCTCTCTGGTTTGCAACACAGGGTGTCTATCCCAGTTACTGCGCCAGGTCAGCGCTCTCACCTAAAGGCAAGGCAGGGCAGGCCAGAGCTGAGTTCCCTCATTGACAAAAGGCACCTAGTGAAGCAGCAACAACAGAAGCAACGTGGAAAAGCAGAGTCAGAGAGAATGCCAAAGCAAGAACAAGAACTAAAATATTGCCCCTTCCTGGCTGGCACGCCTCCCCCACCTCAGAACCACCTACTCCTTCCCCCTCCCCATCTGTCGCTGTCTCCCCACTTCATTGCCCCCCATGCCCTTCTCCAGCCTGCGCTCCCTCCCCACATGCCCTCTCCATCTGGCACTTCCTCCCTACCTCACCACAACTATATCCCAGCTGAGCCTGAACACGAAGGTCTCTGCACTTCTCTCCCTGCACCACAGGCTGGGCAGCATTTCCTTAAGAGTCATGGTCTGGTGAGTTTGCTGGTCTTTCCCCTGCAAACCCTGGGCAGATGTGAGGTGTTTGCAAGGCGCCCTTAGACCCGCCTGGGCTGTGGGAGCTACTCTGTTTTCAAGGCTACTTACTGAAGCACAGTCTATACTACTGCAGTTTGCTCTAGAAGGCCAAAGGCATGAAATGGCCCCACTGTCTCCATGAATCTCGCATGGGGTTGTATTTTCTGCACCTCCCTGACAATCATTGCCAGCCCCAGCAAAGGAACTGAAGCAATGGACTCTTGCGATAATTGGACCTAGAAATTTACATTAATTGTGAGCTTGACTGTAAAAACTATGTAAAGTTGCTAAGATGTCACAATAACCGGGGGGAGGGATAGCTCAGTGGTTTGAGCATTGGCCTGCTAAACCCAGGATTATAAATTCAATCCTTGAGGGGGCCACTTAGGGATCTGGGGCAAAATCAGTACTTGGTCTTGCTAGTGAAGGCAGGGGGCTGGACTCAATGACCTTTCAAGGTCCCTTCCAGCTCTAGGAGATAGGATATCTCCATTTATATATAAAAAAAACCCCAACCTATAACAACAAATGTTGATGGGAAAAGGTGCTGAAAAGATCTGTTGATATAACTCAAGGACTGTGTTAAGATCATGCTTGGTAAAAATACAAGATGTGGAACCAGAAATTAAGAAACCAAAATTGATGTGTCAAATATTAGGACTAATTGGTGGGCAAAATAATGAGGCAACGGGCTATTCTACCGACCATTCCCTTTGTGGGTCCTTAAAGAAAAATTGGGTAGAACAGATGGAGGCTACTAGAGTGAACTTCAATTTCTTAGCTGCCTCCCCTACCGTTTCCTGGGACCCTGGGCCTTCGTCATCCTGATCCTGAGCAATGTCCCGATCAGACAGGCCAGAGAGAGGGCTTCAGATGACTTTGCCACCCCGACTGGTTCCAGCTGAACCCCAAGCACCACCTGAGATGAAACAGGATCAGATTTTAGCAGCAGCAACAGCTCCAGCCCATGGCAACTAACTTCTCTTTTCCCCTGAAGGACAGTTATTACCATCTTTGATACCATCTTTCTAAGAGACTGTCAAACAAGGGCTTTCCCTTCTAACAACATTCTCCAGCTAACGAGAAAGAGAACAAGGCATGTTGTTAAAATGAAAGCCTTACTTAATACTTTACATTTCAAATGCTTTAACTTTTTTCCTTCTTCTCTCTATTGTTAACAAACAATTGAAAGGATATTTAATGCTATGTTTACCACGATACTAAGCAGGCTGAGTGTTCTGTATACCCAAACCTAGACTTTGTTTAATGCTGGACAGTGAATTAATGCAACAGGGCCACTCAGCGTAAAGCCAGCCCACCATCCTGTCTGCAACAGCACTCACCAGAGGAATATTCAAGGGGTTTGTCTATACAGCAAAAAACTACAACCCCCAGCAGTGAGCCTCAGAAGCCGGGTCTACAGACATGGGCTCGCAGGGCTCATCCCATGGCATTAAAAATAGCCCCATGGGCATTGTGGCTCAGGCTGGAGCTCGGCTCTGAAGCTTGGGGGGGCGTTGTCAGTGCCCGAGGTGGGACGTCTCTAGCCAGCTCTTGTTAGTACCCCTGTGCAGGAACCCGGAGTGTGTGGCAGGCTGAAGTGTGGGTCCCTGGTGTAGGGTTTCGCTGTCCAGCATTAAACAAAGTCTAGGTTTGGGTATATTCAACCAGACAGCAAATGTGAAAAATCGGGACGGGGGTGGGGGGGGTAATAGGAGCCGCTATAAGAAAAAGAGCCAAAAATCAGGACTGTCCCTATAAAATCAGGACATCTGGTCACCCTAGGCTACAGGCTCACACCCCGGTGCAGGTCCCGGGGGATCAGGTGATGGGTGTGCTGAGCTGGTGCAAGCGCTGCGGGTTTCTCCCACGGCTGCTGTGTGACTCCCCTGGGACCCCAAGTCTGGGGATGAGCATCCCCTGGCGGGGCTCGAACCCCCGCCACAGCCAGAGGCGCCTGGCTGGGTCCGCGTCCGGCCAAGTGTATCGCAGACTTCGGCCACCACAAACACCGACCGCCAGCCTCCGCCTCAGGCCCCGCCCCCACGGCCCGGCCCCGCCCCGCCAGGTGAGTCCCCCTCCCCCCCC